GTGGCGTTAGTCGCCCTCGTCACGGCCAGCGTGTGCCCACTGCCCGTGAGCCTGAAAAAAACGGGCCCAAAGAGCCGCAGAAGGCAGAGCCACGCCGTCATCGGCTGCTAGGGTTACACACACCCCAGAGAGAAAAGTCTGCCTCCATGGAGCTAGGCAGAAAACCAAGTATTTGAGGAGGAGAGAAAATGTGAATAATTAATTGTCAGGAAAAGCCTCTCTGCCTCCCTGGAGAAGCCGAGGCGCTGCGGCAGTGGGGACAGGCTCTGCCTTTATCGTATCTGTTACACGTCTTCCCCAAGGCCCCCGCGCAGCACCTGTTCAGGGAGGACGAGCCCCAGACCAGAACCGAACCGGGCCACGGACGGACCTCCTCGGAGCCGGTGGGAGGGTGGGAGCTGTCCCCACAGTATTGAAAAAGCGCTCAAATTAGTTTGTCCCAGAAGACAAGGAAGAGTCTTTCTTGTGTGGTTATAGACAACTAGACTTTTCCTTTCATCATGCAAAACAAAGACAACTTTAAGGCCTGCACAAGTTCAGGCCTTCTCTGAGGGAGAAAGTGTACTATCAACCTGAGTATTTGTTGTATTTTTTTCCTAATATTTCATCTCTCCTATACATGCCTTTTTGTTTCAAGTGTAACAGAACATAATTTAGACAATGACAACGATGTATTGAGCTCTTACTATCTGCAAGACATTGTCCTAAAAGCTTTACATATAGTATCTCATTTCATCTTTACGCCAACACCATGATAAAGGTGTTCTCCCATTTTGCAAGTGAACGTTAACCGGCTGGTCGGAGGCCGTTGAGGGTCTCCCTTCTCACGAGCGAACTTTCTCGCCCCGCAAGTCTGCCCTCCCTGTACTTGTCCTGTTGGTTTCCTGACCCGAACCTCAGGCTGCTCGGGTGGGCTCTCATGCTGTGACATCGCTTCTTCAGGCCACGTGGGTGGGAGCTCCTGCTGGGAATGGAGCCACCGGCACGCCTGGGCAGTACCCGGTAATCCCCGCCCCGCACGGACATCCTACGTTCGAGGCCGGTGGCGGGGACGAAGGTCCTTCTGCCAGCTGCCGCCCTGATGCTGGCCCATCCCGATGTGGCCTGCACTGGGACCCCCTGCTGCCATTCTCTGTGCCCGGGCTTCATGCCAGCCTTGCCTACAACACTACCTTCAACGGCCCGGTGCCTGCCAGACTGGCCCTCCTCCAAGGACTGGCAGGCGGGTGTGTCCCCAAAAGCACCTCCTTCCCAGCGGCCGGTGTATCTAATTGAGGGTCCCAATCTCTCATTCCAATGGGAAGGCCTTGCCAAGTCTCAGGATATAACAAGCTTAGACACCTCTTTCTAGAATTCATTCAGTTGCAATCGTTTATTTAATCAAAGGATGTTTATCATGAACCTATTATGTGCTGGGCACTGGAGGATACCGTGATGAGTGACAGAACCTCTGTCTTCCTAAAAGTTATAATCGAATGGGGGAGGGAGACAATAAACACACACACACACACGTAAACTGAAGTCAGGCAGCTAAGTGCAAGAGACACTGCACCGAACAAACCCGTGTTCAGCGGGCGTGGTAAGAGGTTTCCGAGGCCGCGGCCGTAATCATTTACCGTCAGCTGAATAAGTTCCCAAGGCGCAGTCAGTGCCGTTCAGAGCCGCAGCGGGCAAGGGTGGCTGCTTAAGACTGGGTTTTGAGAAGGGAGAGTTTTAGGGCCCAGATGAGGAGGGCAAATAGAGAGTAGCCTCAGGTAGGGAGAACCAGTCTGTTCTGTGGCCACTTCCTCCTGGCATTGTTCTGAGGATACAGACCCTCCAGAAATGTTATACTATCCTCAAAGTACCATTGGAAAGCTCCCAACATTTTCTAAGAGCAGTTCTTCAAGTATGATTATCATCTTTATTTGAAAGCAAATAGTCAATCATACGTGATGCACGTGTGGAAGAAAAACAGGATGCCCAGCTACGCATGGGCCTCCCCAGCCCCGTACCTTGTCCATTTTTTCTTAGGGGACGGGGGTTAAAAAGCAGCCACTGCCCCTCCCCACAAGGTCTCTTCTGCCACTGGCTTATACAGGCAGCTCACAGAGCAGAAGCTCAGGGTGAGTGTGAACAGCCTTTGCTCGGGGATCGATCCTACGGGCCAGCAGACAGGACGCGCATCCTCCAGACTCTATTCAGGGACCAAAAATAAGTACGGGCGCCTCAATTCTTGCCTCCTTCCTTCCTCTCCTTTGTCTTCCCTCCCCTCCTCTCTGTTCAGAGGATTTTCTAAGACATGCACAGCTTAGCGTCCCCGAGCTTCTGAAAAAGTCCGTGGAGACCACTCAGGCTGATTCTAGAGAGAAAAAAGATGCCCAGAGAGCGTCTGAGAGCTCGTGCTCCTTCCGGGCAGAGCTGGGACCGAGACCGAGGACACTAAGCCCCACACCGCTGCCCCTGTACTTTGTCTCGGGATGACCTCTCTTTTCTTCTCATCAGGGGCAGGTGGCACCAGGAAGCAGCCACCGCATTCTGAGGGAAGAGACGATGACACAGAGGGACTGGTGGTCTCGGGCGAGGCTTTCCTGACAGTCTTGGTAAGGACGCGAACCAACTGCGGACACGATGCCTTCCAACCTCGCTCCCCCACGGAGGAGGCTTTTCTGTCCCTCTGAACCCAGGAACGAATGGGTGAAAGGGCATCGCCTGAATGGGAAAGAACCACTGGCAAACAGGGGAAAATCCATTTCTTAACAGAGAATGGCGACAGCCAATGCTCGCACCCCCGTCGGGAATCGGGACTCGTTCAGAAACACGCCGCCGAGGGGAGAGGGGCGCCTGGGGGGCCGCGGAAGGACAACGAGATGCAGGAGCGGCTCCCGGACGGACACGTGGGGCTGGGACGGTCGCCCTCCGGGCCCTGCCGGCCACACGGAGGGCGCAGGCACCAAGCAGGCTGTGAGGGGAGACCGGCCCTGGCCCTGCATCCTTCAAGGTGGACACTAACCCTATTAGCTGTCTCCATACACCGTCCTCGGAATGAGGTTATATCGTTCGTGGGGAAAGGCTATGTTTCAAATCTACTTGGAAGATACTTCTATTATTGTAGTGCTGCTGAACCAATGTTTTAAAGGATAGATTTAAGACTCTAGACTTAAAAAAAAAAAATTTTTTTTTCTTTAGAAAGGGTCCACACTATTATCTTTCACTGACTCCTTAAGAGGCCTTCTCCTGAGTATAGGTGTGCCCAGGATTCATGTTCCTGGCTGGGAGGAAATGCAGGCCAGGTAACAACATAGTGGACACAGACAGCCAAGGGCCCACCTGTACCCACTCATCCCTTCTTCCTGTCCAGAACTGGGATGCGATGGCTATGCTAGAGGCAGCCGTTTTTTGACGCAGAGGCAACCCTGAGGATGGAAGCCAAAAGTCAAGGATGGTACGACAGAAAGACTGAAGGAGTTTTTTTTTTTACCACACCTGCACTGCTGCCTCCTCTGGACTTTTTATTTATTTATTTATTATTAGATGTTAGAGAAAAACCCCTACTTGTTCAAGTCTTTTTTTTTTCCTCTATTATTTGTAGCCAAACACATTTCCTAACTGAAATATGAAACACATTCTCACTTGCCAAGAGGGCCCAACATTGAAGAGTGAGGCAGAAATCACCAAATATTTAAAGAGGAAAGAAAGAGCAATAAAAGGCTATTGATCCCAGTTGCACGAAGAGAAATCCAATTCGGAGATCGCAATTAAAATAATGGAGAGGAAAACATCCCAAACCAAATTACCCATTTCCCTGCACAAGAGAGGTGCTTTGTTGTGACCCAAGAGGACTGATATGGAGAGCTACAAATTAAGCAAAGGCTTCTGGTAAGTGTTTTATACAAATCATTCTTTAAAAAAATATAGCCTCTGGGCAAAACTGAGTGGAACAAAAATGGCGGCACAGAGACAGAGTTCAAGAGAGCGCTCTCTGACTTCAGGAATGTGAAAGCTTCAGGGAGCCAGTGTGAAGCGCCGGAGCATCATTCTCATTACTACTAATGGTTCTTAATAACTAAAGGGCAATAGTGAGTCTCCAGTTGGCTGAAATAATCAGAAACTGCTCCTTGTAGTTAGGCTAATAATGAAATATAATTTGACACTAAATTACAATCTCAGATATACAGCATTCTGCACAGTCTCTTATTGCAAAGAAAAGTTAAGCCAGAACATCAGCAAACAGAATAACCCAATTAAATGTCTTTCCAACTGGGGACTATTGAGAATTAAGAGTTTAACGGGATAGTGAGATAGTAAATACTGAGTTGTTTTATCCTGATTAAAAAAAAAAAAATCAGGGCTTTATCATAAGACTCTTTTTTATCATAAGACTCTTATTTTAAAATAAGCGTTTAATCCGGTGAATGACTTTGGTTATTTACACAGCAATCTTACTCACTGGAAATAGTTCCTAGATCGAAGGTCTCATTTCCCATGAATAGATTCACACTTGTAACTTAGTATTTAATATAGATGCACCTTTTTCTATACTCAGAGTGCATTTATAAACGTGCTCTCACTCGTTTTTTCCCCATATACAATAATTACCTATGACATCTGAGGAACTGCGCCCAATGGATGAGTCGGGGCCATCCCTGGATCCAATTAATGTTCTCTGAGCTACTAGCTTTCAGGCAGCAGATACTTGGTGAGTGTTTGCTGAATGACTGGGTTGCCCCAGAGTCTTTAGAGGAGGTGTTTAGAGCGCTTGTGCTAATAAAGCCCGCGCTGGTCCCTCCAGGCGGAACTTCCGTGGGGAAGGCAGTGGTATCGCTGGCCCTGCAATCGGGGTGCAATCACAGCCTCCCGGGGAAGCCTCCACCGCCAGAGTTGGAGGGCGAGTCTTACTACTGAAGCGCAGGTCACACAGAAGCACGGGTCACACAGGTGGCCTTCCCCCCGTGCACAGATGGGACTGACCGCTGGGGGACTGGGAAGACAGCGGGGAAGGACATGTAAGCCGTACTTACTGCTCGTGGAGGACATGTGGCTGTAGTCAGACCTGAAACATAAAACCTTAGCATTAGTAGGATTAAACATTTTTTTTCTTATTCCAGATGGTTTCGCCAAGCTAGAATTTTAAAGTCAGGGGCAAGGAGCATTTAACTGGTAAAGAAACGCTGCGAATGAAAAACTACCGCGTTAAGCATTGCTTGTGCAACGTAAGAGTTATGTCTGAATTTGAAAGCAGAACTGTGAAGGCACTTTCGAAACCAGGGGTCCTTTGGTTCCGGACAAGAGGGCAGAGTGCGTGGATGTTGCACTCACCTCCTCCTGCAACCACATTGAAATTACAACCAAATCTTAGAACAATCGATTTAATAACCACCTGAGAAATAGCTGAACAGAAAACCTGCAACTAAGGATATAAAGAACTCACACAGAGACTGGTAGGAAAGATGCAAAGGGGGCTGCCCCGCTGCACCCACATGTGGTGGCTGACCATCTGAAGGGGTGTCTCAGCTGCAAGATGCTCCCTTATGAGAGAGGGGTCTCAGCCTGACACCAGGTCCCCAGCTGGGAACACCCCTGCCGGGAGAGTAGCTCACGTAACATCTGGCTGTGAGAATCGCCCAGCGGGATCCCATCCCTTTGGGTGAACAGGAAGGCTGCTGAAAGCCCAGGCATCCTCTTAAACACACAAACTCACTCATTTGCAGGGCACTCACCGTGGTCTCCGTGAAGGGACAGCAGCCTGGGGAGTCCCAGAGACACACAGGGAAGACCTGAGTTCTGTGGCTCCAGGGCGAGGGCTGGAGGGATGACCAAGACTGTCCGTGTGTTGAGCCCTCCCTGCACACAGCCTCCTCTGAGTCTACGCGGGCCCGCTGACATCTGCGAGCTCCACCCTGATGACTCCCTGAAACACTGCCCTGTCCGACTCGCCCACGGCCCCAGGCTGTCTCAGTGCCAACCAGCCTGGGCTTGCACTGCAGTCTTTCTTAGGAAACTCTCCAGGAATTCCGTCAAGCTCCAGGTGTGCCAGAAACCTTCAGGGAAAGACTGAGTTGGGTGGCTTCAGGGCGAGGGCTGGCGGGATGACGTCCGTTGGCCCTGTGTGGAGCCCACGCCCCGCACACATCTACGTCAGCCCGGTAAACTCCACTAGCTCCACCCTGATGACTCCTCGAGACCCCACACCAACCACAAGCGTCTCCAGGCCACGAGTGGGTGGCATCAGACCTTGGTGTACCGTGAGCCTTTTGCTGAGCAGCTTGGCCCAGCGCTTCAACCAAATCTGAACCCGTATTAGCTTGGTGAATGCTCCCCTCTCCACCCTGCTGACTCCCTGAGGCCCTGCCTCACCCAACCTGCATGTTGCCTGAAGCTCTTTCAGCGGCTGGGCCTTACAGGCACCTGGACATTGGTGCCAGGTTTTGGGATGCCTTGGGTCTTTTGCTCACCTGCTCCAGGCCTGGAACTGGTGGCAGCCAGCCTCAGATTTGGTGGCCCCTCTCACATGACCCCAGGCCCAGCACAGGCAGCTATCAGCTGTGGATCACATCATAGCTCATAACAGGTGTCTGACATTGAGCTGCGCCGAAGTCCCTCCCAAGAGACCCCAGAACCAACACACAGGCGGCCAGAGTGTGTTCAGAACACAACAGACCGCCACCCAATCAGCTTCCCAAGTGACACACCCAAAGAGGGGGTCTCAGCAGGCCCCAGTCCCCATTGGGGCAAATCTCGTCCCATGGAATCGGCCTCTGCAAAACAGCTCACACCCTGTGGTCGTGGCCAGTCCTCACAGCCAGCCAGCCTGACAGCCTGAGGGTCAAACCCACCCACTACTGCATCAACAGCAGTCAAGGCTCACCTACAAGAGGAGGGAACAGGCAAACCACGAAAGCAACACTCGGAGAGCACCTGGCTCAGGTGATCGGGGAGGCTGCATCTCTGGTCCCCATAGAAAGCCTGCTACATAAGGTCACCCTGCCAAGATGGGGAGACAGAGCAGATCTCCCTAATGCATAGAAATGATCACAGAAAAACAGCCAAAATGAGGAAACAAAGAAACAGGTCCTCAATGAAAAAACGGGGCAAAACTTCAGAAAAAGAACTAAAAATGGAGACAAGCAATCTACCAGATACAGAGTTCAAAACACTGGTTATAAGGGTGTTTAAAAAACTTAAATAACTGATGAGCTCAGAACTTCACAAAAGATACAGTAAGCCTAAAAAAGGCAATAGAAACTGGAAAAGAAAAAAAGAGAATAGTTAGCAATGAAGAATACAATAACTGAAATGAAGGGTACACTAGAAGAAGTCAACAGCACATTAGATGAATCAGAGGATCAAATCAGTGAGTTGGAAGAAAAGGTAGCCGAAAACACCAAATTATAACAGCAAAAACATTTTTTTTTAAATGAGAATAGTTTAAGGGATATTGGGACAACACCAAGTGTAACAACATTTGTATCATAGGGATATCAGAAGGAGAAGAGAGAGAGCAAGGAATGGGAACCTATTTTTTAAAAAATAAGTGAAAATTTCCTTAACCTGTCCAAAAAAAGACATGGAAGTCTAAAAGTGCAGAGAATCCCAAACAAGATGAACCCAAAGAGGTCCATACGAAGATGCATCATTATTAAGATGCCAAAGGTTAAAACAAAGAGAGAATCTTAAAAGCAGCAAAAAAAGACAATTAGTTACCTAGAAGAAAGCTCCCATGGCCTGTTGCTGATTTCTCAACAGAAACATTTCAGGCCAAAAGGGATTGGCATGATATATTCAAAGTGATGAAAAGCAAGGACCTACAACCAAGACTACTCTATCCTGCAAGGCTGTGATTTAAAACTGAAGGAGAGAAAAAGAGCTCCGCAGACAACAAAAGCTACAGGAGCTCATTGCCATCACACCAATATTACAATAAAAGTTAAAGGGACGCCTTGAAGAAGGAGGAGGAGGAGGAGGAGGAGAAGAAGAAGAAGAAGGGAAGGGGATGGGGAAAGAGAAGAAAAGAAAAAAAAGGAAAAACATAATTATATAGAACAAAACTGCAATAAATACATGCCTATTAATGATCGCTTTAAAATATAAATGGCTTAAATGTTCTAGTCAAAAAACACAGGGGAGCACAATGGATTAAAAAAATAGGTCCATATACAAAGCTCTCTACGAGAGACCCACATCAGAATGAAAGACACACAGGGACTGGGAGTGAAGGGATGGAAAAGGTAATGCATGCAAATGAAAACAAAGCCAAAGCTGGGGTAGTAATACCTACATCAGAAAAAGTGGACTTTAAAACAAAGTCTATAATAAGAGACAAAGAAAAACATTACATAATGATAAAGGGATCACTTTGACAAGAGGATATAATCCTTGTAAATATTTATGCACCCAGCGTAGGAGCAACTAAATATATGAAGCGAATAGTAATAAACATACAGGGAGAGACGGACAGTAACAGAATCACAGTGGAAGACTCCCACACCTCATTGACACCCATGGCTGGGCCTTCCAGACATAAAATCAAAAAGGAAACAGTGGCCTTAAATGACACACTAGGCCAGATAGATTTAATTAATATTTTTAGAGCATTTCACCTTAAAGCATCAGAATATACATTCTTTTTAAGTGGTCATGGGACATTTTTGAGGACAGACCACATTTTAGGTCATAAAACCAATCTCAATAAACGTAAGAAGACTGAAATAATATCCAGCATCTTCTCTGACCACAATGTTATGAAACTAGAAATCAATTATAAGGAAAAAAAGACCTGAAAAACACACACACGGAGGCTAAATAACATGTTATAAAACAAAAAATGGGTTAACAATGACATCAAGGAAAAAATCAAAAGCTACCTTGAAACAAATGAAAATGGAAACCAAATGACCTAAAATTTATGGACGCAGCAAAAGCAGTCCAAAGGGGGAAATTCATAGCATTACAGGCCTACCTCAAGAACCCAAAATTATCTCAAATAAACAATTTCACATTACACCTACAGGAACTAGAAAAAAGTAAAAACAAACAAAGCTCAAAGTGAGTCAAAGGAAGAAAATAATAAAATTCACGGCAAAAATTTTAAAAAAGTCTAAAAAAGAAAAACAGCACAAAAGAGCAATAAAACCAAGAGTTGCTTTATTTTTTTTTAAAAGATAAACAGGATTGAGAAACTTTTAACCACATTCATCAAGATACAAATAGAGAGGTTCCGATTAAATACATTCAGAAATTTAATAGAAGAAATGACAACTGACTCCAGAGGAATACAAAAGAAAATACTACAAGCACTTATATGCCAACAAATTGGACAATCAAAAAGAAATGGATAAATTCCTAGAAACATACATTTTTCCAAGACTGAATCAAGAAAAATCAGAAAATCTGAACAGATCCGTTACTACCAATGAAATCAATCATGATTCAAAAAACTCCAATAAGCAAAAGTCCTAGACCAGATGGCTTCACAGGTCAATTTTACCAAACATTCAAAGAAGAATTAACACCTCTCCTTTTCAAACTATTTTAAGAAATCTGAGAGGAGAGAAAGCTCCCAAGGTCATAGGAGGCCAGCGTTACTATGACACCAAAACCAGATGAAGACAGTACAAAGAAAGAAAATTATAGGCCAATATACTTGATGAACAAAGAGGCAAAAATCCACAGCAAAATATTAGAAAGCCAAATTCAACAGTGCATTAAAAAGATCATATGACACGATCAAGTGGGATTTATTCCTGAGATGCAAGGTTGGTTCGTTATTGGCAAATCAACTACCACGAAAAACCACATAAACAAAATGAAGGCTAAAAATAACAAAATCATATCAATACATGTAGACAAAGCAATTGAAAAAATGCAATGTGCATTTAAGATAAAAACTCTCAGCAAAGTGGGAATAGAGGGAAGATACCACAACATAATAAAGGCCATGTACACAAATCGACAGCTTACATCATTCTCAACAGTGAAAATCTAAAATAATTTTCTTTAAGATCAGGAAAAAGGATGCCCACTTTTACCTCTTTCATTCAACATAGTATCCAT